TGGGAAAAGCTAGGGAACCTAACTTCCTCATCTTATTCTTCTTCGGTTTGATCTTAGCATTCGGGATTTCGAGTGAGGGTTCCCAAATTCGACACTACAAATGGGAAGTCGAGTACATGTTTTGGGCTCCTGATTGTAATGAAAATATCGTTATGGGAATCAACGGCCAGTTTCCTGGACCTACGATTCGAGCCAACGCTGGTGATACTGTTGTTGTTGAGCTGATTAATAAGCTCCACACTGAAGGTGTCGTCATTCACTGGCATGGAATTTTGCAACGAGGAACTCCGTGGGCTGATGGCACTGCTTCCATCTCCCAGTGTGCTATTAACCCTGGTGAAACGTTCTTCTACAATTTCACTGTTGATAACGTAAGATTTGAGATGCACTATTTTGCTTCTTTTTTTTTTTCGTTGGAATGCAATTTCAGTGGAGGATGATTTTTTGCAGCCTGGGACGTTTTTCTATCATGGTCATTTGGGAATGCAAAGATCGGCAGGGTTATATGGATCTTTGATAGTGGATCCTCCACAAGGAAAAAAAGAGCCATTCCATTATGACGGAGAAATCAACCTATTACTCAGTGATTGGTGGCATCAAAGTATTCATAAACAAGAAGTTGGTCTTAGCTCCAAACCTATTCGTTGGATCGGTGAGCCTCAGGTAATTAATTATTAATTAAAAATTTATATCTCTAAGTAAATTAAACCGACTAAATATGGATCTAAAGATATCCTTTTTTGTTCTTTATTCAGACCATACTCTTAAATGGAAGAGGGCAGTTCGATTGTTCAATTGCAGCTAAATACGACAGTAATTTAGAGCCATGTAAACTAAAAGGAAGTGAACCGTGCGCACCTTATATCTTCCATGTTATGCCCAAAAAGACTTACAGGATAAGAATTGCAAGTACCACTGCTTTAGCTGCCCTCAACTTTGCCATTGGGGTACGTAAATTCATTCATATATAAATTTCGATTCAATTATTTTAAATGATTATAAATTTATTTTTATTTTTCATTACCTTTAATTATATAAAATCTCACTTTAAATTACTAATTTTTTTTTATAGTTGAAGTAAAAAAAAAACTTTTTTTACGAAAAAAACATTTCTACCATGTTATTCCAAAATATAATAATATCAGTAGAAAAATTCATAGAATTAGATAATATTTAATCATTACATAAACAAAAATGATAGAGAATAAATCATGAAAAGAAAAATACGGAATATCAATACCTTAGTATAAAAAACAAAATTATAACGACATATAGTTACTTAATTATTATTATTTTACTAATTTTTTTTACAAAATTTTAATATAATGTTTAGATTTAAAAAGGGAAAAGATGTCATATTTAAGAAAAATAATTGAATAGTAAAAATTAAAAACAAAAATTGTCCCTTCCTAATAAAGAACTTCTCTCCCAAATTGGGGATTCCAAGCATGTCTTGTCCCAATGTTTTTTTTTTTTTTTTTCTCCTTTAATTATATTCATTTTTAAATTTAATTTATAATTATTATTAAAAAAAATAATAATAAAAGATTTTAAAGAGAGATATTTCTGATTTAGATGACTTCCTTAGAAAAAAAAGATTTAAAAATAAAATAAGATAGTTCTAAATTTAGGGTTTAATGTCATTTTCTTTAATTATTTTAAAGTTTATCAATTTTAAATTAAATTACTAAAATTATTATCTAAGTTTCTATGAAAAAAAAACATTAAATTAAAAGGGTAAGTGCATAAATTATTGTTTTTTTTTTTTAAAATATAAAATATTTTTATTGAAAAAGAAAATCATCATAATTATTAACGAAAAAGTAATGTGGGACAGAATTGTTCAATCATACACACAAATAATTTATCACAAGTAAAATCTCTGTCTTTTCAATGGTCATAATCAAATAATTTCTTTTTTAAAAAAAATTAATTTAAAATTTTCAATTTAGATATTATTTTTTTTAATAATTTTTGTTGTTCTTCAGAATCACCCATTGTTGGTGGTAGAAGCCGACGGTAATTACGTCCAACCATTTTACACCTCCGACATCGACATTTATTCCGGCGAGTCCTACTCCGTCCTCATCACCACCGACCAAAACCCATCGGAGAACTACTGGGTCTCCGTCGGCACCCGCGGCAGGCATCCCAACACACCGCCGGGATTGACCCTCCTCAACTACCTACCCAATTCCGTCTCGAAATTACCCACTTCTCCGCCGCCGGAAACCCCCGCCTGGGATGACTTTGACCGGAGCAAAAACTTCACTTATAGAATCACCGCCGCTATGGGCAGCCCTAAGCCGCCGGTTAAATCCAACCGTAGGATCTTTCTCCTCAACACCCAGAATGTAATCAACGGCTATGTCAAGTGGGCCATCAACGACGTCTCCTTAGCCCTCCCGCCGACGCCGTATCTCGGTGCCATGAAATTCAATTTACTCCACGCCTTTGACCAGAATCCGCCGCCGGAAGTGTTCCCGGAGGACTATGACATCGACACGCCGCCGACGAACGAGAAAACGAAGATAGGGAACGGAGTGTACCAATTCAAAATTGGGGAAATTGTGGATGTGATTTTACAAAACGCTAACATGATGAAGGAGAATCTTAGCGAGATTCATCCATGGCATTTGCACGGCCATGATTTTTGGGTTTTGGGTTACGGAGACGGGAAATTCACGGCGGAGGAGGAGTCGTCATTGAATTTGAAGAACCCGCCATTGAGGAACACGGTGGTGATATTTCCATATGGGTGGACGGCGATCAGATTTGTGGCGGATAATCCCGGGGTTTGGGCGTTTCATTGCCATATTGAACCGCATTTGCATATGGGAATGGGGGTCGTGTTCGCGGAAGGGGTCGAAAAGGTCGGGAGGATTCCAACCAAGGCGTTGGCTTGCGGTGGCACAGCTAAGTCGTTGATAAATAACCCCTAAAAAACCCTAGAAAGAAACCCCTGAAATACCCTTGGGGAAATGTTTTGGTGTTTGGAGATAATAATATTAAGAATTCGTGTTTAATTAGGGTTTAGGGTTTGTGAAAATGTTTTGGTGTTCAAAGGGAATAACCTTAAGAATTAAGGTTTAGGGTTTAAGGTTTGTAGAAGTAAATCATTAATCTTTTGTGTTGTATTGTATGAGTTTGCAAATGTTTTTCTTGTATTGTCGTGATTTGTGTAGAGGTTTGTGAAGGTAATAAAATGTAATGGGGTTTTGTTAGTTTTTTGTTTCTTTCTCGAGAAATGACCTAAAATTTGAAATCGTTAGTAGTTTCAATGCTGCTCGAAGTCAAGATACGCTTGCAAACTGTACGTGTTTGATGTCACAATTGCATTCTTTTGGTAGCGAAATAACGATTGTGTAACACTTGTTCAAACCTAGCGAATAAGTTAGCCGTGTGAAAATCAAGCATGATTATGACATTTGACACTCGAAGGTATTCCCGGCCAGGCAAGTTAGGCATGTCGGTGACACACCTTCCTTCAATTATTTTGATTATAGAAATAAAGACATGTCTAACACATGTCAAATAATTAGTGCTATATTTACCTAATCTATTTGTCTATTTTGTTTGATTTGATTTGATTACTTTTGAATGGGTGAGTTTTGAAAAAGACCTTTGAATTGTGAGTCCATTTGAGCATCTTCAAAATAATTCATAAGAGACAGATATTAGGTGGTGTGTCAGCAAGGACGTTGAGCCTCAAATGGAGGTGAACATAGGGCGTTGTGTCAGCGAGGACGCAAGGCCCGAGCAGACGTGGATTTTGAGATCTCTCATCGGTTGGAGAAGGGAACGAAGTATTCTTTATAACAGTGTGGAAACCTCTCCAACCCAAAAGGAGAAGACTAAAAAAGTTATCCAATGCTCTCGGATTTATAGAGCTGACAATGTAATCCAAATTTCTCTCGAATATAATTATATCCCAACCGTGACCGAACCCTAAAAAGAATCTCATATCTCAACCTCAATTCAAACTTTATAGGGCGAATCCTTACCCTGATCCCGTAAAAAGAATTTCACGAGAATGAGATTGAAATATGAGGCCGGAATAGAACGGGTAGGTTTTTCCGACCCCACCCAGTAGAAATTTGTAACAAAGTGTTCATTCATTTCTACCGCTCGAAATGGGCACCACATCCAAAATCGTACCGAAAAAAATATTTTTTAAAAAAGAAAAGTAAAGGATAACACAAGTCATAATAATAAAGAAGAAGAAAAAATGCGTCTCAATATTGAATGAATATAGTAAAATTGAGTGGTGAGTGAATAATTACGTTTAGAAATGGGAAGATGAGAGTATATACAATGCCATGGAGGTTAATCCCATCCATTGGGATATGCTAAGATTATATGAACTTTCGTTTGAAAATATATATTTTAATAAGTTAAACTACATATATGTTTAAATGATACATTATTTAGATCGAAAATATATTTTTTTTAATTATAAAATTTATCAAGGAAAATGGTAGTGGCCATTACCATTACATCACATCTGAAATATACTCTATTTTTTAATAAAATGTTTTTATTTTTTAATAAAATGTTTTTGTTTTCATATAATTATTTTCGAATCATCTCTACGATACACGTTATCCGTCATAAGTTATTATATATATAGACGTTAAATTTCACAATACATTTTCTTTTATTCTAATCTAATATAATTCTAAAAACCTTCTAATACAAATTTATGAATAAAAAAAAAAAAATTGAAAATGAAAGCCCCAAAAATTCTTCCATGACATTTTCCCATTGCAATTACTCCTAATTGGAACTTTTTAATAATTGAATCCATATATGATTACACCTAATAATTAATTTGTCGTGACCTGAAAATAAATAGATAATATTGTATCTTATTAAATATGAATACCAACCTTATTATCATCACAAGCGTCCAAAGGCCCATTGGGTGATTGACATGTTTCATTTGGCAAGCATTGAATGTGCATTCAATGAAGAGGAAGAAAACAGCTTTAATCATAGTATGGGATAGCAAAATAAGATTAAACTCCTGCTGTCTTTACTGAACAGATAGCAAAATGAACAAACAAGTAGAGACTAGCCAATGTAATTCTACCAAGTTACAATACAAATTACCGAACCATTTGGCGTTACACTTTACAAACACTAACTTGTAATTTTGGATTTAGTAATATAATAATCCCCAGTTCACTATAGAGTGAAAATAACACTTTTACTTCCCCCCCTCCCTTCCTTATCTATCTCATTCTGAAGCTGTAATTTTGTAGCATCACTTGCCCTTCTTCTATGTGCAATTTGTGTCATAGCTAGCAAGTCCCAACAATTCTGGTCCTTCCATTCTAGGGTTATTCTCAAAGCTGCACCAAACAAAATAAACGTGAACGGTAATACAAACAAAAAGCTACAGCGGGCAGACAATGTGCACATGTACTCGTTCTGAGATGACTTCCAATCATACAAGTTGCAGGCCCAATGCCTAATAGGGAGATTTACGCCAGCCAACCAATTGAGAAGCTCAGAAGTCAACTAGAGGATCTGAACCAGAATAATGGTTTGTGCGAGGAAAGAAGGGTAGATCAGTAATAAGAGCAGTGGCTCCTAGTCATCTGTTGTGTGGTTAGGAGTGTGCCGGGAAGGAGGATAGTGACTAGTTAAAGAGATGGACTCATAAGATGGTGGGAAAGCTTTTTCTACTATGGAGTTCAGGCATCTCAAAGGTTGCGAAACGGGGCCTAATAATAAAATATCTCTTCTAGATACATCAATTTCAGAGCCTACGCACAGCAATACAAGGGAATTTAAATCTAAAAACACATGATAAAAGTAACAATATATCTCTTCTAGATACATCAATTTCAGACCCTAACTTTGATCTAAACACAGCAATACAAGGAGGATTGAATCCACGTCATATGATAAAAACACATCATAAAAGTACTGTTCATTCTCTCCTCATTTTCCCTGTTGGTTCATGTTTGCAGGAGTGTTACTCGGAAATCTTTGATGCAATTCAAATATAGTAGTAATAGAATAAAAACAGGGAGGAACGAACTACGCAATGAGTAAGAAAGAAATACAGAAGCCTACTTGTTTAAAGGTATGTGCTCAAATGGTCCACTGGTTGGTATTGTTCCACACAAGTCATTATTTGAGACATCTCTGAAACAAAGGAGACATAATCCATCATTAAAAGATTGCATGACATGGCGCAAAATTTAAAGAGTGATCCATCAAAGCAAGGGTTCCTTTTGTGGGCTTGTTTATTTTATGCCCTTGAACATTTTTTCCATATCTCTAAGCGCAGTTTCTTACCCAAAAAAGAAATGGCCAATGGAAAAAATATACAAAGACTTACACCACTTTAAGGCTCGTAATTCCAGTAAGTTCTCTCGGAATTGGTCCATTTAATCGGTTGTCATTAAGCCGTCTGCAAAAAAAAAAATAAAAGTACAGGAAAAAAATATTAGGAAAAGAAAGGGCCACAAGAAAAGAAATTCATCAGAATGTTTTAAAAATTCTGTTCCTAAAACATGGATTAAAGGAAGTTGTTCATTAGAACAATGTTGAGTTGATTATCAAAAATCAAATGTTCACTAGCAATAACGTCTTATAAAATTATGATCATACCATCAATTATCAATACTGTTGGTCAACAAAAATTGGAGATAGAAAGAAAATAAAAACCCCGAAACCAACACAACCAAGCTAAACAAGGATGAGCAACATAAAATGAAACTCACAAGAACACAAGAGATTTCAATTTCCCCAATGAAATTGGAATCCTTCCAGTGATGTTGTTGTTATACAAGTCCAAACTGATGAGGCTCTTCAAGTTTCCAAGCTCATCTGGGATAGTTCCATGAATGTTGTTTTTGTAAAGTTCCCTACATATTTAGTAGCCAGAGAATACAAAAATCAACAATCAGTACAAAACCAGATTTAAGTACTAAACCCATGCTCACATAAATGATTAACACATCACAGGAGATTTACATCAGAAGTAATCGAGAAAGTGAGGAACAGACAAATACAAGTTCAAGGGTTAATTTGTGATAGACCTCTCCTTAGATAGACTACTTACTACTCGGAGTTACAAGAAAAGGGTAGCAATGGAATATGTAAGCATGGGTCCCATTCAACTTTACTTTGTACTGTATTGGGGTAGGGTGGGGGTTGTAAACAGTTTTTATGCAAGTATGAGAGTTAGTAGAATTTGGAAGTAGTTTGTGTGAAGCTGTCCAATTCTCCTCAGTGGTATTGTCCTTGAATTCTACCTGCTAGTTGAAGAAACTGCCATTTCAAATCCTACTAGTTTTTCATGGATTTTGGAAGTCCTACCATAAGGTAGAAACATGACCCCAAAAAAAAACTCTCTTTCAAGAAACTCTTTCAAGTAATAACTTAAATAACCCTATAGAACTTTTGACAAATCATTTCAATCAAAGAACATAGGTGAAGCTACAATTAGTAGCACCAGAAGAAGGGAACATTGAGAATAAACAACATACAGATATTGCAGGTGCTCGAGCCTTCCTAGTTCAGGAACCAGATGTCCAGACAGATTGGAATTGCCCAAGTCCCTGCAAAATAAAATCGGACTTCTGATCAGCGGCCAGCGCTAACAACAAGCCAAAAGTACACAAGCTTTTAGACAGGTAAAGAGATATGTCCTGAACAAGACTCTTAACACCACAGTGTTGGATTTCACTTTTCTCAAAAGACTAGACAGACAGCCCTCATCCGACAATAACAACAAATTTCGCAAAACGATCGATTGAATCCTCGTCCAAAACAGAAAAGATAATACAAGAACGAAACCGCAAAACACAAAAAGATACAAAGACAGTAAAAAATCAACGAAAAGCCTAACAGCAAATTCCGGGATTCTAAATAAAGAAGATAAAAGAAAACAGTTGAAAAACTAATCAAATAGTAAAAAGAAACAAAGAAACAGAAACCGTACACTCGGGTAACGCGGTTGTCCTGGTTACAAGTGATGTGGAACCAAGTACAGGGGTTGACGAGGGTAGGATCCCAACTCTGAAGCACGTTATCAGGATCGGTCAAGCTCCGACGGAGAGTATAGAGAGCGTCGCCTTCGGAGTTGGCAAAAGCAACCTGCAGAACGGAAGTTAGGGCTACGAAAAGGAGAAAGAAGAAGGTAGAAGTCCAGAACCGAGTCGCCGCCATGGCTAACCCTGAGACTGGATCAAGCGGCGAAAAACCCTGCAATTCAGAGAATTTTTGAGAATTTGAACGGAAAAAGGTGTAATTTTTTAGAATTTGGATCGAAAAAAGAGAGAGAGAAGAGGAAGAGACGGAACGGAAATGGGGGAAGTTGGGGTTTCAGGCGTTGGGAATGCCAACGTAAACAAAACGTGAGCGACTTTCTTGAGATTCTCTTTTATTTCTTTTTTTTTTTTTTTTTTTACTCCCTTTTTTTAAAAAAAACATTTTTTTAATTTGTTAAATTTTATCTATTAGATACAAAATTTAGAATTTAAATAAAGACGTCCTTGTTTGGGCTTGGCTCCAAGGTGGGACTCCCACCAAATCTATCTCCTTTGGGCCCAGCGTTCTTACTGCCACACCGTCTCATATGTACCCCTTTGGAGAACAGCCTCCTTTCCGACCATATATTTTTTTTAAGTTATAAATTAATTTAATTTGAATCAAATTTATAATTTAGCGAATAAAAATACAAAATTTTTGAAAATATAATTTTAATATAAAGTCTAAAATAGGAATATAGTGGAAACGATGGAAAAAGCACAAGCTTTTGGAATTTGGAAGGTCAAGAAATTTAAAGACCCTTTTGTCATTTCTTAATTATTTAAATTGTCCTTTCTTCCCTTTGGGTCAAAAAAGTAAATTACAATATGGTCATTCAAAATCAAATCTTTGCAAAGGGTCCGTGTAGTTGCCCTTTTGTAAGATATCACATCAGGTGAGGAGGAGAACGGAGCATTTCTTATAAGAGTAAAAATTTAAAATCATGGGCTTGGACTGTTACACCTGCTTTTATAGAGCCGTGTATCCGTATTCTTTTAAAATATTATTGCAATTTGATTCTCGGAGCATTTATTTCCATGATATGATAAATGAATTGAAAGATTGATGCCTTCCTCGAGGAAAAGAAAAAATAATTTTAAAAATTATAATAATACATGAAAAGACTATATTGCCCTAGTCAATCAAATGTTTTTTTTTTAATGAAAATTATTGTAAAAAGATTATGAGAAAACAGGCGTAATTTTAAAAAATCAAATAATAAAATTATTTATTTCAAAATTTAAGGGTTAATTAAAATATTGGTAATTATTTTATTTTTTATTCTAATTAAATTATAATTGAAAATTACGTGGCAAGAGTAATGGAAGGACAAGTTCAATCAATTTGACCAACTCCACTATCCAACAACTTTGACTTTTTATTTATTTTTATTTTTTTAATTTTTAAAGTTGAAATTATTTCCAATTTGGAGTTTGGTCTTTGCTTTTCTTCTCATTTATGATATTCTAACCTCCCCACCCACATTCACACTTTTTCGATGAATTTACTTAAATACCCTCACTTTATTTCAATATTTTCAATAATAACCATAGTTTATAACTTTATTAAAATTTTAATTTTACAAACAAAAATCAAATCAACGGTAAAATATTTAAATTCAGCTAAATATTTAAGTCGAACAAAAGTCTAAAATATGTACTTATTTTTATTGAGGGTAAAGATTCAAATCTCGACATTCATGGTGCTGCTTTGAGACACGGAATCTTCATTTATACTGAAAAATAAAGGAGGACGTGGTAGAGATATTCACGAGGTGAGACAAGGGTAGGGAAGTCATCTTTGTCCCCGTCCCTGCCTCGTATTTCAATCTTTATCTCCACAAAATTTTCTATTATTTTTGCGAGAATCGGAACAGGGATTCTTCATAAAAATTTGTGAGGATTGGGTTCATGCATACAGCGAACCGCGACTAACAGAAATTTGGACGTGGTCGAGGGCGAAGTCTTTGTCTCCATTCCCGACCCGTTTATAACAAGGTTAAATCTTTCTCCGCTTTCTAGAGATGTCTAGTTAATTTGGGATAGGACTGGAGTCGGGTCGAAGTTACATATGTTGTTGAAAAAAGTGTTTAGCAAAAAGATTAAGCTTTTAAAAATGAACCGAAAAAAACTAAAAAATTAATAATGGTTCCTTAAAATAATTCAAACGAAACATGATTAGAATCGGTGAAAAGATTTGACTTCTAATCATGTGCTCGTTTACCCTCAACTCCACGTAACGACCACTCGGTTGCTTCAATTGTTATCATAGTTACTGTCTCTACTCCCATTCTTAACACTTGCTTCAATTGCTTACATTGAAATTTGAAGAAGGAAGAAAGACGGGAAAACCCCTAAATACGAAAGGCGGGAAAGTGAACAAACCCGACGAAATTCTAAACTCATTGAAATTTGAAGAAGGAAGAGAGACGGGAAATACCCTAAATACGAAGGGGAAAAGTGAATCGTATTCGACGATATTCTAAATTCATTGAAATTTGAAGAAGGAAGAGAGATAGAAAGAACCCTAAATACGAAGTCGTGAAAGTGAATAGTACCCAACGACATTCACGATTTAGAATGTCGGTACATTCTACGTTGTTGATTGTCTTAAAATCCATCACGCGCTACAAAGTGTTTTTTTAATTATTAATTTACGTGCTTTTTAAAGTGGCAATAAAGTCAGTTTGATCGAGTTGATACAAGTAACAGATAAAGTTGAAACACGTTCAACGTTCAACGTTCAATCAACTTTAAAGCAATAAAACGCTATTATTAGTCCGTTGACAAATAATAGATAATTATTAATATTTTGAAAAGATTGACAATTGGAGAGTATTCTTAAATATTTACAATTTTACCATTTAGATTTAGAATTTATATTTAAAAAAATATATGGCATTTTTAAAAAAATAAAACTGAGATAAAAATTGAAAAAACAAAACAAACGTTAGATTGGGCCATGTAAATAGGCCCATTAGTTTTCTTGGGCCAAAACCATCAACAAAAGCCCACCACCACAATTGTAAAATTTTAATTTTATATTTATAGTTCGATAAAATCCTTATAAATAATTTATATTTTCTAGCTATTATTTTCTTTATTTTTTTTTCATCGAGAATAATTAAATAAATGATTTTTTTTAGAATGGAAATTGAAATTAGTGACGGGACGAGGAGAGAAAAGACATTTACTACACCCGTAGACATTGTCAGTCCTACTCCGAAGTTTGTTTATATGAGCGAGATTGACTTTTGTATGTATCATTTTGAAAATTTTACTGAACAAAGAACTTAGAGATCGACAATCGAATCTCTTCAGGCAAAAATATTTATAAAGGTAAAGTTTTCGATTTTACGAATAAATATGTTTCGTCCATTGAATAAAGGCGCTTTCTTTTGAAAACGTCTTGTAATCCCATTAACAAAATATTCTAATTCTCTCGACTTCAAAACACTTTATATTTTTCTCAGGTGTCTATTAAATTCAAATTATTCTTTTTTTTTTTTCTTTTTTTTTTAAATTTGAGCCGTCACACAGTTATATTTTAAAATTAATATTTATTTGTGTAAAATTTTGTTCCATTGACTTTGGTAGTTCAGGAATCATAAAACCTTAATTTTTAAATATATATTGCTCATAATATTTATTTTATTAAATATAAACTTTAATTTAATAATAATAATTAGTCATAGTTTAAAATTTAATTAAATTAATTGAGTGGGAAATACATAATTAGTCATAAAAAAACGAGAATATTCGAATAATAATAATAATAATGCAAATGGAAGAAATTCCAAGGGAAATTAATTTTTTTATTTAAAAATAATTTCCATATAATTAGATGAAAAATAAATGCACTCTAAATGGTGGGATTTAATGTCTTTAGAACCGGACAAGGAAAACGCGGGCCCCACATAACTCTTTGTCTTAAATTCTTTTTTTTTTCTTTTATTTATTTTCCTGTTTTTTTTAATTAATTAATCTTTAAAAAAAACCCTCTTTAATTTATTCAATTTTTCATAAATTTAATAATATTTCTTTCCAAATTTAACCTCTATTATTTTTTTAATTTTAAAATTACGAAAAAAAATTAATTGATTCTTTTGAGATAAATATTCAATTTTTCATAATTTACATTCTTATTATAAAAATCAAAAATAAAAAATTGACTCTTGATTTAGTTCAAAAATAGTTATTATTGTTAGATGAAAGTGTCCCACATCCGTTAAGTGAGGAATACTAACGTCATTGGTATAAGAGTCATGCCCTAAACTTAGCCATGCCAATAGATTGGCAAATCCTCGAATGTCGAACAAAGGACTTCAAAAAGAAAAAAGGAGTCAAGCCTCCTCGAAGGTACGAAGGCAGTCAAAGAAGACTAAGACTCCAAAGGAGTCGAGCCTCGATTAAGGGGAGGGCGTACTTTGTTCGAGAGGAGGTGTTAGATGAAAGTGTCCCACATTCGTTAAGTTAGGGAATGGTCATGAGTTTATAATCTAAGAATATACTCTCCATTGTTATGAGGCCTTTTGGGGAAACCCAAAGCAAAGCCATGAGAGCTTATGCTCAAAGTGGACAATATCATACCATTGTGGAGAGTAGTGTTCGTCTAACAATTATTTTTTCTTAAATATTGAATATTTTAACATTTTATTAATATTTATTATTTTTAATTAAAAATAATAAATTGAAAAACTAAAATTGATAAAAAAAAAATAAATAGAAAAATTGTTAATCCGACATTGTGAATCTTCCTTCTCACTTCCACGTGCAGTTCTCAAAACAGTGGGAGTTTTTTTTTTTTTTTTTTTTTTTTTTTTTTTTT